TAAGGGTTCTCAATGGAATTGTTTTTAGGGCCCTATTTCCCACTCCTATATTCCCTTCTTCCCCCCAATGGCTGGTCAGGAAAAAACCATTTCCATCTGCTCTCTGACAAAGGCCTAGAGTGAATAAAAGGAAGGGATGGAACTAAGAGGCCTTAGAGCGCGTTCCTTGCTCGCCTGGGGAACTGCGGCCTTCTGGAGTCTCCACTGCCTCTTCTAGTTGCCCAGCGAAGTTACAAGGAATGACACTGCTAAATGCAGTAACAGGCACGTTAGCCTGTGTTTGTCGAGCGCATTCTGATTCTCATTCAATGATCATGTGAAGCAGATGTCATCATCTCCCTTTTATACATAAGAAAACTGAGGCTTTGAAAAGTGAAGTCATTTGCCCGAGTTTTCTGACTCCAGATCCAGTTGTCTCCACTGTGTCTCCACGGTGCCTGGCACATAGCTGGGGCTAAATCCATTTTTTTTTAATTGAATGAATGAATGAACGAACAAATGAACAAACGAACAAGCACAGAGGCGCCTTCTCAGAGCTTCCATCCTAGAGGACAGACACATGGGCACAGAGAGGCAGGTGCTTTCCTCTGATCAGGCTCACGTGCTCAGTGCTGTCGGCCCCAGGGCAGGCCCTTGAGTGACTCCCTCAGCTGAGCTTAGGCTCTGAAAGCTGGAGCAAACATCGGCATCTGAGCTACATTTAACAGCCCTCACTGAGCCTCTCTATCAATAGATTCTAGAGCCCACGCTCACAGAGTGAGATCCTGCAGCAACACAAGGAAGGGTAAGATGGGACTCCTGACTACAGTGAGCTCCAGAACTGGTGGGGGAAACGTACCTGGAAACAATTAACTTTAATATAAGACCAACTGAAACAAGGGGTGAGTAGAGATACAATTGCCATCTGACTGGAGAGATCAGGGAAGGCTTCCTGGGGGAGGCCACGTTGGAGCAGATGTTGGGGATGATGATTTCACCAGCACCTGCTGAGGGGCTCCCAAGAATGAATCCTACAGATGCTTTCTACTGGTTAAGTAGGCCAATCCTTAGCCCCGAGTCACTGTGCCCCTCTTTCACAATACACACAGGAATAGAATTATTTTTCCCCTCTGTCCTCTCAATTAGACTGAGTTCCATGAAGAAGGGACCACGTCTTCAGCCATCTTTGAATATCAATGCCAAGAACAGGGAGGCCCCTGAATATGTGATGCTAGACGGATGAATATCTGACTGACAGGTGGATGGTGAATCCCTCCTGCACCCAGCCCAGCCCCTAGCCCAAACATGATCCCCTCTTCCAGACACTTTACTGCCACCTGCAGGAAACTTGTCATAATAAATATACAAATCTACACTGACAAGTATGAATGGCGCCCCCTAGAGTCTTGCAGTATACAACCACGTGACACTATCCCGCTCCTTGTTTCCGTCTACTCCCCGCAAGTTTCAAGTAATACAGCCTTCTTCCCTCTCCCCTTTTCTACCCTGTGGGTTGAACTACTTGCTAGAGTCACTTCCCCAGCTCCCCAATTCCTGTCAACCCCACCAATGAGTTGTTCACTAATGACAGAGAGCCAGAGGGGAAGACACAAAGTTTCCTAGCTCTTTGTCTCTGCCTTTTACTATAGGCCGGTATCTTGAAATCTCTCCCAGAAGTGACCAGGTCTCTCGGGTGAGTCTGGAGGCCAAGTGAGCTCTTTAAATTGTCATCTGCAGAAGATTCAGGCTGGCCTGGTTGCCAGGGATTGCCCGAGGAAATGGAAAGAGCAATATACTTGGAGTTAGAAGATCTGGGTCTACGAGTCCTATGTGACCACAAGCAAGTCCCGTACGCCCTCTGGGCCTCCGATTCTAGCACATGTCCTAACAAACACACAGAGTTATTATGAAATCTCTATGTAAACCATAACACTGATCAACAGAAATAACGAGGCATTCCCATTAATGACTATTATTCCATTTCAGTGTGGTTGGGCTTAGGGAGTTGGAAATAGGGCTCATAAATAAGAGAGAGAGAAAATGGAGGGAAAGGATGAGGATGGGAAGAGTCAGGTTACAGCATGTATGGAGCCCTGAGAACCTGTTTTGACTTTGTAGACTCAGATCAGCGCCTTTCTCGGCCTTTCTCGGCCCAGACATGCCTTTCCACTCTGGCCTGTGTGATTAGCAGGGGTTTCCCATCAGGCGTCTCAAGCACAAGCGAAGCCCTGAGACCAGCTCAGGACACCAATGGGGCCAGGGAAGGGGGAGGTCTCTGTATATGGTGAGACTGATCCAGACACCCGCCACTTGGTTTCCTAATCCAGACCCAAATCCAGACCCATAAGGAGGAGAAAACTGCGGAGGCCACAGCTGCCTTCCAATGTAAGACTGACTTCATTTCCTCCCAGAATGAAAGTTCTAGCTTCAGAGAGCCTCAGAGCACCCAGGGTCTCCCAGACACACCCCCTCCTGAACCTAACAGGAAAGAATCCCTGCAGAGGAAGGCTGCCTGTTTAATTATTCTGCTAGAGCCCCGCCGAGTCCTCAAATCACAGGAAGATTGCATCCAGGCCCTGAAGTAGCAGTCCCGCCTCCTCTGCTGCCTCTCTTCTCTCTCTCCTGCTAACTAAAGACACCCAACTGCAGTGCACAAGTTATTTTTAACCATGGCAGCCTCCCCATTTTCAGCCTCCCTGGCCCAGCCCCCTCCTCAAGGCAGTCACTGGCAGTGTCAGGATGCAAAGATCAGCATGGATGCTGGAAACAACAGCCCAGCGCCCATCACCCCATCGCTCATTTGACCCAGTGGTGTCCTTAGGGGCTCGGCCTGGGGATTAAACCCTCTTGAGTCCACTCCACTTCTGTTCTAGACTCGGAATGTTAAGCAGCAGGCAAATCATCCCGCGGGGCTCCTCAGAGAAGACTGGAAGGGGAAATCATCATAAAGGGATCTGTAAGTGTGCACACGTGATGATGGAGCGGGCTAGCAGGCACAAGGAAGGAAGCAGGAGGCCTCCAGTCTGCCCCTTCAGGAGAAGTCCAGGGGCCCCTCGGCCGTGGCCTTTCAAGGCTGGGGACTAGTAAAGTCCTTCCTGCACCTTACCGACAGCTCTGAAAACTATTCACTGGCTGAGGCCACGGGCCCAAAAGTATTGAGAAGGAACAAAGAGTCCTTCCTCTCAGGGCTCCCTAGGCTAGGGCCCACCACAAAGAGTTCCAACTCTCCAGCCCGTCTTCCGGGTCTCCTCCCTGGTGGTTCACTTCCTCTAAAACCCTTTCCTGATGACTGGAGCCCACAGAACCCTCTCCCTGTCTACCTTGCCATTACAGCCCTCTGCCCACTCCTGGAACACAATCTATCAATCACATCGTCTCCTGAAAACACTCCTTGCATCCAGTCAATACTGGTTGATCTCCAAGGCCCTGTGCAAGTAGCTGGGGGGTAAAAACATAAACAAGATACAGTCCTGAGGGAGTGACAGGCACCCTGCAAGATAACTGCTGTACTGTACAAGGGAACACAGGGGAGAGGAGAGTCTGAATACAGAGCAGAGGAGGGAGCTTTGGATACCACTGGGGTATTAAGGACAGAGGAGGCGGCACTTGAAGGAGGAGGCAGGGTTCCCGGCCCCTTGCAGAGAAGTTAAAGCACAGAGGTCTGATCCTGCAAGATGCACACCTCAGGGGTCAAGGTCCAGTTCAATGTCGCAGCGTGCTTGCGAGTACAAAGTGGAGCTGAAGCAGCAAGCTGGGGCCTGATTTTAACAGGTCTTTATGCTGTATGTAGCCTTTATTTCACGGACAATGAGGCAGAGAAGGTTTAGAAGCAGCTGAGTAACACGATCAGGTTTGCATTTTAGAACAAAATACCGTTTTAGTCATGCAAAGGAAAGCGAGCAAGCCTGGAAGGAGGAGACTATTAGATGGTCGGTGGAAGGCCCAGGTGAGAGACGACAAAGCGGAGCAGGGCAGGGAGCATTATTTGAGAGACACAAAAACCGTAGCAGGACAGGCCCTGGTGTTGGATTAAAAATGGGTGATGTCACCGAATTAGCTGCAGGCGCTGCTTTGTCTACTTCTCTGCACTCTGGCACCATCGCCTGCTGAGGCGCTGAGCACAACCCACGGAGGCAGTTCTGGATGCCTTCGGGAAAAGCCGCAGAGAGAGAACTTCACAGAGTTCCCCTTCACTGAGTCAAAACCTGTGCTGAGGCAGGTTTTGCACAGGCAGCTCTGCACAGGAAGCGTTCTTAAAATGGGGAAAGTGAGGCTCAGGATAAGAGACTTGCACTGAGTCACACGGCTGGTCAGGGGCAGGACCACAGTCCAGCACCTCATCTTTCTGACTCCAAAACCTGCACTTGTTGCTCTGCCACTTGGCAAAAAAACAGGTACCTCCCACCACAGGAGGAGGCAGCCTTAGTCCTTGCACTGCGGAAAGAGGAAAGAGTAACTGTATACCACACCTTTCGAAGGCAATGTCAGTGAAATTGCCCTCTCCGAAGACTTTATCTCAAGGAAATAATTCAACATAAATCAAGTGTTATTATTCATAAAGATAGATGTTCACTGTGGCATTTTCTATTATGGCGAAAAAGTGAAAAATTAGTAGGATTTTTTAAAATCATGAAATATTACGCAGCCTTTAAAAATGGTACCTATAAAGCCCAAGGTATAATGTGAAAAATCTTGATATAAAAGTAAGGGGGAAAACCAACTCTAGCCTGGTACATAAGCCATGAAGGTAACTGCATGGAACATATAACTGCATAGGGACAAAGGCAGGGAAGAAATCACAAAAATGAAAACAAGGTCTCATGGTAGCATGGAGGGGTTGGGGTGACAGATTTTCCATGTTCAATATTTTTTAATGTTTCTTCATCATCTTTCCAATAGTAATAATAAATTTGATTCAGAGAGCCCTGGGTTGAACCCCTCCACTGCCCACCCAGCCATTGCACATTGGCCCATTCTCCCCTTCAGCCCAAGGCACCCAGCTCACTCGGGGCCTTTCTTACCAGCAACTCTGACCACAGCACGCTCTGCAGGGTCCAGCACAGAATCCTGGCTTTTCCGCTTTTTCTGCTCATGCAGTGGCAGGTTCCAGGGTAAGGTGTCCCCTGGGGGACAGGGAGACAGGCTCCCTGACCGCTCGCTCCTGTAAGACCGCTCACTCCGACATGACCGCTCACTCCGGCATGACCGCTCACTGAGCGTTTCTTCATCTGAGGATGACATCGCCCAGGTGGGGTCTGCAGCAGCAGAGCCTGGGGGCCCAGAGAGATGTGATCTGGAGGAGAGAGGAATATATGTGAACAGACTGAAGGAGTCGCAGAAGGAACACTGGGACTTGGGAGGCGGAGGTTCTAGTCTTGGTTCTACCACTGACTTCATCTCTTTACCCTCTCTGAACCTCAGTTTCTTCATCTGGAAAATGGGATGATGATAATACACGGCAAAACTAATTCACAGGGTTTGGGGAAAATCACATGAGGTAATATATGTGAAGATGTCTATAAATCTTAAAACACTGGGTAAAAGTTAGCTCCTATTACTAGTAACCACTATGATTGTTACCTGGTACATTTGAAGGATTAAGCTTATGGGTCCCACAGACAGAAAGATGTGGATTCAAATTCTACCCCACCATTTACTAGCTGTGTGACCCTGGGGAAACCATTTAACCTCTTTGAGCCTCAGCATCCTCATCTATAAAATGGGGGTGATGGTAGCACCTAACCTGACAGGGTTGTTTGCAAGCAATAAATGAGATCCTGCAGGTAAAGTGCTTAACAGTGACTGGTGTCCAATAAGCCCTCAATAAACAGCATCTATTATTACATTCTTGTTCTACTTACCTCCCAGGAATGGTATAAGGATAAAATAGGGCAACAGATGGGAAGTATTTTCAAAAAGCTAAAGCACGATCTCAAAGGCAGACACGAAACAAAGCATGAATTAGAATAGGCAGAAATTCTTTATTTCTCCCATTCTGTCTCTGGCAGATATATTAGAAAAAGTTCTAAACGTGAAGCAAGACAGACCTGGGTGTAAATTCTGGTTTGGCCACTTACAATTGGTGTGATCTGGGGCAAGTCACTTAATCTCTCTGAGACTCAGTTTCCTCATCTGCAAAATGGGGGTAATATTTCACCTTAGATGATGTTTTAAGAACACAGTGAAACGCAAATGTAAAACTGGCTGGTGCCATGCATGGCACACAATAGGCATTAAAGTGCCCATTTGCTTATTCTAAGGGCTGTAGGAATAAATAGCACAGCATGGGGTAGGGGTGTGGGGGAGGTGGTACATACAGAAAGTCAGTTTTTCTGGTCAGTTTAGCTAGTGGAGCGATCTGAGTGGAAACACATTCATTCTGTGGCCAGCTGGGCTCCACCAGCCAGACTGGGCAGCCTGCCCTCATTCAGGCCAAGCTCACTTCCCAGGACCATCTGCTACACATGGCGCACCACCCCAGCGGCTCCCTTGGAGCTCGGATGGTGCATGCCTTCAGCTACCAGCCTCCCTGAAGGCCCCATATCCAGCCCAAATAACCCGTTCTCACGGTGGCGCTAGGGTCCAGGAAGGGCAGGAGACCATCGGCTTTCCCTTATGGAAAACACCTGCACACAGAGCTATAGGAGACAATGAGGTGGCCTAAATGACTGGACACTATGGGTCTCTGGGCACAGCTCCTCCTGGATTCTGGGAATCTCAGCCTGAAGGCAGTAAAAGGCAGAGACAGCCTCCTGGGTCTTAGGCAAATCCCCACCATAGGCACAGAACGGGAACAGATAACAAAAGAAACATCAAACAGTGCAGTGGGCCTATAGGCAGTCTTGGGCAGACAGAACAGCCCTGCCAGGGCACCTCCGGGCCAGTGGCATTTGGGCCCCCTTCCCATGGAACATCAAAAAGGAATCCAGCCACAGGAGGCAGAAAGGAAAGGAGCCAGGTCCGGGCACAGCTTTGCCCTTTATCCTAGCATTTACTCCCTCCCCCCAATTACCTTCTGGCGCACCTCCCACCTCTTATAGGCGGTCAGGTGCTGAAGTGACTGCCCCCACCTCGGGGAAATTTAGGCTGTGCTTCCATCTCTACCCTCCTCAGCCCAGGGCAGGAAACGCCCCTCCTTTCAGACCACCTGCTTCATCCCAGAACCGCCTATTCCTCCCCAAGACGCCCCATTTTACTACAAAGGCCCGCTCGTCCAAGGCCTCCTCCGGGAGAAACCGCCCCTCCCCAGCTATACCCCGGTCAGTCTCCCGACCCCCACAAACACCTGTTTGACCTCGGGGTTCTCGCCCCACCCCTCGGTCACCTGAGTCACTCCATCAATCCCGGATTCACAGGCGCGCGCGCCCACGCCCCCAACCCACTACGAAGGCCGCACGCGGGGTCCGCGACCGGCACCTCACCTGGAGTTCTCCAGCTGCAGCCCTCCCCCCACCTCGCCCCCATCCCCTTCTCCACAGCGGGGAGAGGGACGCGCGAGCCAGGGGCGACACGGGTGGGTCCGCGTGCCCGCCGCGCGCGGCTGACAAAGAGCGGGGCCGCGCCATGCGGACGCGCGACTGGGGACCCAGGAAACCTCCGGGCCAGTGGCTGAGACCTGGGGCCGGGAAGCGACCTTACCCGCCTGGCCCTGCCCGCTCCCGCCGGTCTCTCTCCCGGCCTGGGAGGGCTCGGTGTCCCATTTTCCCGGAGAACACGCCTCCCTTTGGCCCGGGCAGCGCCGGCCGATGGGAAACCCCAGCTCCGTGCGCTCGGCGATTCAGGGCGCCGGCCACCGGGGCTGCAGGTGCGAGGCCGGGACGGCCGCGACGCCCGAGCCTGTCAACCCGTCTTCCCGCTGCCGTGGGCTACCCGGGCTCGGGCGCGGCCGCCCCGCGCGATCAAGCACGCGCCCCGCCGCCGCTGCCACCGCGCACCGGTTCAATCAGGCAGGAGCCTGCATCTAGCCCCGCGCCCCGCGCCCCGCGCCCAGCGTCTTACCCTGGGAGCCGGAGGAGGGGAAGACCAGCGGGCGGCGGCAGCAAAGGCAGCGGCTACGGCGGCTGCGGGGCGCGCCCCAGTCTGGAGCACAGTGGAGGGGAGCGCAGCGGAGCCGAGGGGAGCGGCTCCCACAATGGCCGAGCCGAGGCACCGAGCCCCCCGCCCCCCGCCCCCCGCGCCCTAGCGGTAGCGGCTGAAGTGGAGCCCGCGCAGCCGCTCAACCCG